CTCTCCTCGATCAGGGAGCTCAAGCTCTGGCCGTCCACCACCGGCGCAACCGGGCACGCCGCGCGGGCGGCCTCCCGCGACGCGCCAACGACCGCGCCAGCGGCAACTGCAGCCGGCGCACCGTAGGAGCGCCGGGCCCCGAGGGCGGCGGCCAGCGCGCAAGCGCACGCCGCGGTAGCGGCGAAGAGCCCGGCCGCGGCCAGGCTGCGCGGGGCGCCCGGGAGGTGCATGGCGGCCACGCTCCCCGCCCGATGGACGATGTGGGCGACGAACAGAAGCCGGTCTTACGCACGGTGGCATAGCGACCGCAGGCCGCGGCTTACGCGGGCCGCCAGCGCGGCACGCTGCATTGCGGCAACGAGGGCGCTCTCAGAGGCGCCATCTTGAGCAGGCAGCTTGCGCGCGAATGTCCGCGCAATCGAGAGCGTTCAATTCCGTTGCCCATGCGGACCCGACCAAAAAAAAGCCCTGGGTCCAATCGGCCTGAGCCACAATGGCTACGGGGAGGGAACGGCGGCTGGGACACTACACGCGGAGCCATGGGGGCAAGTCCGGATCGTGAGCTGGAGTCGGGAGTCTCTCAGGGCCGGCGGGTCTGGGGGATGTGTCGGGGGCCGCATCCGGCACCAGAGCGTTCCAAGAGATCCCTGGAGCGATTTGTCCTCGTCATAGGCCTGCGTGACGAAACGGAATCCTGTAGGCGGGGAGCTGGGGAGGCTGCCGCTGGATACGCTCGCCTCACGCGAGGCAGCGATGTGAACCCGACCAAAAACAACTGGACCCAAGCGGCCAAGCGCAGCAGGAGCGAACACGACGAGGGCGATGAAGACGCAAGCGGCAACGATTGAAATACTGGTCAATAATTATTTGTTGTTTCGCGTGAGGCGGCATCAATGTCGTCGTCGACCGCATAGCAGGATGCGCCTGGAAATCCCACCAGCCCTTTGGGCGTGAGTGGTTTAGAGAGCTCTCTCTGTCCTCAACCCCCCTTCTTCCCCTTCGGGGAGGGGTTTACCCCTCCCCCTACCCCCTCCCCCTGGACCTGGACAGGGAGTCCGGGGTGGTGGCAGGGGGGTCGTTTTCGACTCCTGGGAGGGCTCAAAAACGACGACCCTCACGAGGATTCTGGTCCCGAGGGGGGGGGGGAGTTTGGCCCCTCAACTCGTCTTTGAAGCCAAAAACATTGATTTTACTAGGGTTTGGGGTCCATTTTGGGCTTCTGAGGGGGCAGCGCTCATCGTCCTTCCTAGCAAAATCATTGATTTTACGAAGGTTTTGGGCTCATTTTGTCCTTCTCGGGGGGCAGCTCTCATTTGCGCTTCTGAGGAGGTCGCAAGAGGCCCCAAGATGGCCCCAAGAGGCCCCCAGGAGGCTCCCAGAGGCCTCCAAGAGGCCCCCAAGAGGCCCCCAAGAGGCCCCAAGAGGCCCCCAAGAGGCCCCCAAGAGGCCCCCAAGAGGCCCCCAAGAGGCCCCCAAGAGGCCCCCAAGGCCCCCAAGAGGCCCCCAAGAGGCCCCAAGAGGCTCCAAGAGGCCCCCAAGAGGCCCCACGAGGAGCCCGAACGACTCACACCAGGACGAGGGCCCGAACGACTCACACCACGAAGAGCCCGAACGACTCACACCACAAGGAGGGGCCCGAACCTCACACCAGGACGAGGCGCCCGAACGACTCACACCACGACGCGGGCCCCGAACGACTCACACCACGAGGAGCCCGAACGAGTCACACCAGGAGGAGGGGCCCGAACGACTCACACCAGGATGAGGGGCCCGAACAACTCACACCACGAGAAGCCCGAACGACTCACACCAGGACGAAGAGCCCGAACGACTCACACCACGAAGAGCCCGAACGACTCACACCAGGAAGAAGGGCCCGAACGACTCACACCAGGACGAGAAACCCCAAACGACTCAAATCACGAGGAGCGCTTTCTCTCCCTCCTCCTCCGCCTCGTCCTTCTCCCGCTCCCCCCACAAGGAGGATGTACAAGGAGGCGGGAGGAAGGAGAAACAGGGGAGATATGCGGGGCCAAGCGGACACACGCCTGAAAAACACAACTGTCAGCATGCTTCACAAGAGTTGCTGCTGTGAGATGGGCTGGTGGGGATACGCGAAGCGTAAAGAATTACGCGAGTTTGCCGACCCTCCTCTTGGCCCTGCGGGAGACGGCGGTGATGATGACGACAATGGTGGTGGTGATGGTAGCCACAACGACAATGGTGCTGCTGACGGTGACCATGCGGATGGTGATGACGTTGATGGTCGTGATGGTGACGATGATGATGGTGATTATGATGATTATGACGATGATGACGATGGTGACGACGACGACAGTGATGATCATGATGATGATGCTGATGATGATGACGATGATGATGACGATGATGATGCGATGGTGATGATAATGATGATGATGATGATGATGATGATGATGATGATGATGATGATGATGATGGTGATGATGGTGGTGGTGATGATGATGATGATGATATGATG